ACTTGACTTGATGTTCAACGCCTTATGTCATGATATTCAGTAGATGTTCTTTCACTTTTGTTTAAATGTCTTTTGGTTGGAGATATTTCTAATATTTTCAGGTAGTTGGTCAGATCACCAGTCCTCGGATTTGCATATTTCTTGCCCCGGTTTATGTATTCGAGCTTTTAGATATATAAGGAGTTACTTTTGCCTTTAAGGGATACCTGTTATGTTACCTGTATTTGTATGGTAATAGCCAATTTGAGTAGTTTCCTGTATTATTTTATGGATCAGTATACACGTGTCATATTTGCATTTCTCTTGTATTTTAGCCATTTTTAGTTTGTTATATGTGGCGTGATGTGGTCATATTATAACATTTCCATTGCCACTCTTGCCGCGAAGTTCTGAAGTTTCTGTGTCCTTTGTATTTGGTTTTCGTGTGGAGCCCCAGAATGTTTAGACATGTAATTAAGGATACTAAGTGCTCGTGTTTGCTATAACAGCAATTCTTGTTCTGTGGGTATTTTGTTTTTTTATGTGATTTAAGTATATCAGTGTGCCCATTACTTCCTGTAGATTGGCAATGTGTGTTTCGAAAGTCATGTATCTATCTACGTGTACCCCATGTTTTTTAATGTTGTGTCGAGTTTGATGTAGCAACCTTGGAAATCTATAAACTGTATCTGTGGGTATTTTTGCTAGTTTTGACGGCTTGCCTATGAAAATACATCTGTGTTTTTTGGGATTTAGCTCAGGCCATTTCATATCGAAGTATTGTTTTGCCTTCGTTGGGTCTGTTTGGTCTTTTCTATCAATTCATTTAGATTGTTTACAGAGGCAGCGTGAGGAAACTGAGAGTCGTCGGCATACTGAACAAGAAGACAATTTTTTGCAATTGATGATAAATCATTTATGATATGATGAATAGATTGGGCCAAGGATGGAGCCTTGAGGAACACCGAACGAAACTGATTGCTTTGATGATACTTTTTTCATGGATTTTGACTGATTGAGTTCTCGCGGACAAGTAACTTTTGAACCAAAAATTATCAATTTTGTGGTTTGTTAGTTTGTTTACAAGTCATTCATGGCTGACACTGTCAAAGGCCTTCGATAGATCACATAGAGTGAGCAAATTTATCTTGTTGTTGTCTATAATATTATAAATTTCATTTGTGACTTTTAGTAATGCCGTTTCGGTTGATAATTTATTCCTAAAACCGTGTTGCGTGTTAGATATAAGGTTATTCGCTTCTAAAAATGTTGTTAGTGGTTTGCAACTATTTTCTTGAGAACTTTAGGTATTACTGGCAGTATAGTGATGGGTCGATAATTATTAATTTCGTCTCTGTCACCGGATTTGAAAATAGGAGTTATGATGCCGTGTTTCCAAAGTGATGGATAAACTCCAGTAACTATAGATGTATTAATGATTACTGTCAGATAGTAAGCAATTGCTGGTAAACTATCGTTTATGAAACGATGTGCAATTCCATCTGCTCCCACGGAATTTGTCTTTCTTAAGTGTTTTATTGTCAAGATGATTGTTTCTACTCAACTGGTTGCGGTCTGAAAAGTTTGTTTGTAGTATTCATTTCGTTTATGTTGTGTTGATATGTGGGGGCGGTTGTCTGTTCAAAAGTGCGTCTGCCTATTTCTGCAAAGAAGTTATGAAATGTCTATATTATTTATGGAATTTTGGGAAGTGTCTGTGTTTTGTTTCTTCTAGGCACTAATGTATTTACTAGTTTCCACGTCCCGGCAGAATCGCTTCTGCATTCATTGAACTGTTTTTAAATAATTGGTTTTCGCCCCATGGAGGAGTGTTTTCACATTTTTCTTCTTTTGTTTGTATTCAGCCCGAAGGGTGGTGTCAAATCTGTTTATCTGAGAGCTTTGTGAGTATTATTTCTATCATTTATGGCCCTCTTAATGTTGTCATTTATCCAAGGGGCGGGAGGACGACTTACTGTTTTTGTTTTAAAAGGAGCGCAGGCATCGATGCCGTTCTTTATCACGTTTGTAAGAATGTTAACTTGTTATCAACGTCATCAGTTGTTAAGATCTCTGACAGTGACGAGTCGTTGGCTGTAATATATTGGCAGAGTAACTGAGGATTCGTAGTGCGTTAGGTCGCGAGAGGTTTTAATGACTGGTTTTCGCTTTGTTTTTTCTATATTTAAAGTCATGGTTAAACAGCTCGTGATCAGCAATGTGGCAAGGGACAGCGTCTGTGTGTAGTGTAATATCGGGTCTGTTTGTTATTATAAACATCTAATAAGGATGAAGTGCTTTCTGTAATCCTTGTAGGCTTCTTTATAAGTTGTATTTAATTTGTTTTGTTAATTATCCATTTAATTTTGCATTAGGTTTATTTAGATCGTCATTTAAATCACCTAAGATGAAAAGTGGTTTTCGCTTTATTGACATTTCTCCGAAATATTTCTAGGTAGTTCAAAAGAGTCTGTGGTGCATGAGGGTGTCGTAGATTGTGCCGACGAGAAGGAGGGATGCATATCGCTTTGTACGGTTACCCAGATGTCCTCTACTGCTGTATGATTTACAGTTGCAGAGGAGATCTTTTTTGATTTAAGGGTATCGCTTACATATATGCATTACTCCACCTCCACGTCCTGCATCACATCTGTAAACATGGAAGTTTGGGATGCTGATGAAACTGCATGGTATTTCTGGTGAAGCCAAGTTTCGCTAACACACAAAATATCAATATTTCTCTCCTTAATTATCAATTTGATTTCTTCGAAATGACCGAGGAGGGACTGTGCATTGATGTGTTCAATTTTGATGGTGTTTGATGATTTGACATTCTGCTCGCCTTTGTACTTGTTTCTATTTAGAAATACCTTTACATTGTTGGGAAAGACGTCTGACTCTAAGAACAGATCTGGGTTTATGTCTTTGCCCCTAATAGTGACTGTGAAACTTGAGTAGTAATTATGCGACATTTTTGTTTTGAAAGCTTTGACATTTGAAATTTGATTGAAATTATTTTCGAGGAAGTCTTCAATGTCGTCTTCAACTGTTTCTGGGTGGCAACTCGTAATATATAGGTACACTACCTGAGGACGGTCGGCACCTTGCAAGGGTTTTGGCGAGTGACGTTCCTCCCTTGTTTTTCTTTTATGTTTTCTTGAGTTTACTCTGAACGAATCCTTCCGCATCTTGATGTTGCTGCGGCTGCTCGTTTGTTTGCCTCTGTGTTTCCGCCTCCTTCCGCGTAGTTGTTGATTACGAGCTGTGCGCTTGTGGAGCAAGAGGGGTAGTAGGGGGGGCAGGTACACCAGGCACGTGGTGGTGTGTCGCATCTTCCCATTGGCGATTTGGTGGAAGATGTTTTTTGCTTGTTTTTCTTTTTACTGTTTCTGACGTAGCTTCTTCTAGGTGTGACTTGTGTAGAGGCTTCGTTCCTCATACCGGTTTCGGACGTGTCAGCGTTGTTTTTGGTCAGACGCTTGCGTGGCTCCGGACGAGGCGCGTCAGCAAGGTCGTGAGTCTGCTGGGTCGGAGTGGGTACAGAGGGAGTGGGTTGAGGGGACGGAGTGTCGGGGGAGGGTGGTTGGTGATGGAGGGGAGCTAGAGAGGCGTGGTCGTTGGTACTGGCGTGGAAGGTGTAGGAGTGTGTTTGTTTTGTGGTGTAGAGGTAGATGTGGTTCTGCCGGGGGGAGGGATGCGAAGGGAAGGATTGGTAGGCAGATTGATCGTGGGCAGGGGTTGGGAGATCGGATATTGCGTGATGGGGTGGTCGAGGGATGTTGTGACGGAAGCTTCCTTTCCGCATTCCTGCGGCTGAGAAGGCATCGCGCCTTGGCGGATTAGACTGTTAATTGCTGATTGTTGTTCGGAGAACATTCCGATTAGCAAATCAATTTTATTTTCAATAAGATCTTGATTGACCAAGGAGGGTTCGTGTTGTGTTTGTGTATTTTGGTGTTTTGGTTTTTTGAAAGATTTTTTACAAAGGTGTAGTGATACCTGTTTTCTTTGGTGGTGGAGACCAGTCAGTGGCGGGAGTGTCTGTCGTTATTGTAGCAAACACTATGTTGTCCTTTTTTTAAACACTGATCGATCATGGTATGCACTATGGAGTTTGTCATTCTTTTAATGTCTTTAGTTATATTTCTTGTTCTTCTAGAGTCTGATATATGTAGAATGATATTATAGGCATTTTCGATCTCATCCGGGCTGTACAGTTTCCTGATTTGATCACACAGAACCATCATGCTGCCTACCTGATAGATAGCTTTTCTGTCTGCGCTGTATTCACTGTTTCCATTTATCTGGTTTGTTTCTTCATTGTTCTCACTGATATCACTGGAATTGCTGGTTTCGTTGAAATTCTGATAGGGCTGCTGGGGTTGAGTCGCCCTTTGCCCTGGGCGGGGGGGCAGCCTTGACCCTGGCTGCCATGGGGGTGCCCATCGTCATGGGCGAGGGGGCAGCTTTGACCCGCGCTGCCGGGGGGCCCGTATCCTAGGGCGGAGGTCCCATCACCCTGGGAAGGGGGCACGAAACCCTCGCCGAGGGTCCCTTTCACTCTGGGGATTAGAGCTCGAGCTAGCTGCCCGAGAAAGCACCGGGGAAGCTCCCTGGCTAGCCCCCTGTGACCCGGGGAGGGTAGTCAGATTTCCCTCTGACTGTGCGGGACCATGAGATGCCATGGTTTGCTGAGGTGTTACGCGGCGGCGGAGAGGAAGCAAAAACACGTCCGTTCACCGCGGCGGCTAGACTCAGAGAGAGAGAGAGAGAGAGGAGAGAAAGAGAGAGGAGAGAGAGGAGAGAAAGAGAGAGGAGAGAGAGAGTGATTAAGAGAGAGAGAGAAAGAGAGTAGAATGAGAGAGAGAGAGACGAGAGAGAGAGATGAGATCGAGAGAGAGAGAGAGAGAGAGAGAGAATTTTTCTTCTTCCTTTGTTCGCATTTTTATCCAAGACGAATAACCTCAGACGTTTGTTCATTTGCACTAAACTTCCACAAGTCATAAGTATCCGTTGTACCAATGTATACTTTTAGAAGAAATTCACTGTCCTTGTCAGACATCAAAGCGTGATCCTCTTTGCCCTGTCGCCTTGGTTTTTCCTCTGATAGAAATACCTCAACCCTTCTCCCTATAATGAAAAGAAGGAAAGGGATAAGAATGACTAAACTATAACATATTGTTCCAAGACTAAGTGTACTCCCTGACGAGCGACGTTACCTGCAAACGAAGCAAAAGAAGAAGACTTGTAACCCTGTTTTCGATGAGCACTTCGGGTTCACGTAAGTGCAGTCATGAATACTCAATGCTGTCTGGCTTGCTGATAATAGATGTAATTATCTTTATTATCAATGCCTCTTGTTGTGTGTTTAATTGCCGTGTTTTGAAGAAGGGTGAGCGAAATGAAAATTAGTGGATGCAAATCATATGCTATTAATATGGCCATGATACTGTGACGCAATGACTATTTTTTTAAAAGTAATTTAAGGATAAGTAATATAGAGAAGTTATCCCCTGAGAGTTTTTTGTGGTTGTTGTTTCCTAATTGTAACATTCTCTATTATTTAAATGGGAAACTAAAGTAATGTGAGTGGTCCCTCCGCTCGTTACCTTGCCATAATTTTTTTTTTTTGGTAATAAGTAAACAATATCCGTTAAAGTACAGTGAAACAGCCGTTTGTGTAAACTGTACAATAAGTGTAGTTTAATGGTTTATACGTTCTCCGCTACAAAAATTACTCTAAACAACTTGAAGAGAAATATATAGCTCACGACTCCAAATCTACCTCCTCTCCCCCGGACACAGATCCTCTTCGGTGCGTGAGCGAGCGCAGCCTCCGGGTGAGCGTGTTCGACGGCGGCAGACACAAGCGGCAGGCGGCCATCGGGCACGTGATCTACCCCCTGGCGCAGGTGCCCGCCGACTCCGCCGCCGCCGTGGCCGCCTCCAACGGCTCCACCACCAACAACATCATCGTCAGAGATCTGTCCAGGGTACGTGGGGCTATTCTGTGTTCTCGTGGTACTTAGGCTTTTACATACACTGGTGCGAACATACATGCATACATACATACATACATACATACATACACACATACATACATACATACATACACACATACATACATACATACATACATACATACATACATACATACATACATACATACGTGCATATACATACATACATACATACATACATACATACATACATACATACATACATACATACATACATACATACATACATACATACATACGTGCATATACATAAATACATACATACATACATACATACATACTGTAAGACATTACATACATACATACATGCATACGTACATACATACATGCAGACAGGACAGACATAGATACATACTTACATACGTACATACATGCATACATGCATGCATATATACATATACACATACATACATACATATGACACGTGCGTGTCTGTGCCTCCTGTCGTATCCGTGCCTGTTCTGTATGCAAAACTACAACGTTTCCATCCGCACGGCTTTGACCTCCCTTCCCCGCAGGAGGACGAGTCGGTGGCCCAACAATGACCTCGGAGAAATCCTCGTGTCCCTGACCTTCAACGACAACCTGCACCGCCTGTCCATCACCGTGTTCCAGGCCAAGGAATCAAGGTAGGGCGTTGGCCTTGGCTTTTATTAAGACAATAGATATAGGAATGATACTACTAATAATGATAATGATAATAATAACTATTATTAATGTTGTTGTGTTGTTGTGTGTTGTTGTTGTTATTATTATTATTATTATCATTATCATTATTTTTTTACTTACGATTAGTAGTAGTAGTAGTACTATTATTATTATTATTATTATGTTATTATTATTATTATTATTATTATTATTATTATTATTATTATTATTATTATTATTATTATTATTATTATTATTATTATTATTATGAATTTTTCTTAATTATCATATGTTGCATATTTATACATTTTTTCGAGTGTAAACCGAAAGGAACACTCATGTGTATACCTTTACTTACTCATCTATTTAACCTGCTATTGTAGAAATATTCTATTTGTTATCTTATCACAGTTATTGTATATTTGATGAGTTAACCAATATGATGATTTAGCTTTTAGAATTATCATTACGGAATCCCGTTCCTTGATGTCAATCGTTTATATATGTTTTTATAGCCGATAATCATGGATATTATCATACTTTTATCACCATTATTGCTAATGTAAGCTTCATTAGCATACTGCGCTTTATATACATCAAATATTTTTCTCTAAAACAATTCAGAAATCTTCCCCTCCCCATCTATCGCAACAACCCCCCATACCCCTTCCCCCATCCACCGGGAACACCCCCACTACCTCCCCTACGCGTGCATGGACGGCCGCCCCATTCTCACATCCCATGCAACGCAAATACTGTCGCTCACTCCCTAATGCAACACAAGCATCCCTATACTATTCCCATGCTTAGTAAACGCCCCCGACTTACTTCCCCAACAGGAAATTATTTACTTTGTACCACACCCCTGTATCAGAAACACATGACACTATCCCCCAAGCAGTGCTATCCCCTATGCTATTTTCCATGCAACATGCAACGGCAATACTCCATACTATCTCCACATGCAAACACCCCACTCCTCTCTCGAAACATTCCATATTCCTTTAACAGGTTTTTCATACTCTCATATGCTGTAAGACACCCCACTCCCTCCCCCACTCCACCCCCCCACATATTCTCCCACTCCCTCCTCCAACGCCCTCCCCCACGCAACACAAATACCTCCCACTCATTCCCTTTCCCCACATCTCATCTTCATTCCCTCCTCCACACCCTCCCTCACTCCCTTTCCCCACACCCTGTCCCCACACCCTCTCTCACTCCCTTTCCCCCCACATCCTCTCCCACGCCCTTTCCCATACCCTCTCCCACACCCTCCCTCACTTCTTTTCCCCACCACCCTCTCTCACGCCCTTTCCCCCACGCCCTCCCCCCACAAACACCCCCTATTCACCCCCACCGTTCCCCGCGCAGGTAAACGACGGCGAGGTGGTGTCGTGGGTGAAGGTGTCCCTCATGAACCAGCGTCGGGCGGTCAAGACGAAGAAAACAACTGTGGTGGCGGCGTGCGAAGAGCCTCAGTACAACGAGTCCTTTCACTTCAGACCCCGCCCGCCCTCGAGGGGGTCCACCTCACCCTCCAGCTGTATGTGGCGTCGAGCTCCAACTCTAAGGTAGATCGTGTCTAAGTATCAGTCGGTATTTATGCTAGTTCATGTCAAGAGGTTAGTTTGTGTTAAGAGATCAGTTTATCCCAGAGGGTTAGTGGGTGTCGAAAGATCATTACGTGTCAAAGGGTCAGCTAGTGTCGTTTGGGTGAATTAGTATCAAAGGTCAGTTCATGTCCAAGGGTCAGTTTGCGTCTAAAGATCATTTTATATTAAAAGATCAGTTAGTGAAAAAAAATCTGTTCATGTCTTAAGGCCAATTTTTGAGAGGGTCATTTAGCGAAAAGCAAATCAGTTCATTTCCAGGGTCCAATTAGTATCATGTCAAGGGATCAGTGGTGCTGAAGTGTCGGAAAGGGTAATACGTGTACCTTCTTAGATAACAAAACTATTAACTTTGATACTGAGTCTGAAATTAGATTGTTAATCGTTAATGAGTAATGGGTTTGTTTTTATAGGAAGATGCGATGTTGTTGCTTTTTCACGTTTAACATATTATGTAGTTTTGACTTCTGTACAGCACTACAGGAATACTACAGTAATACTATCAACGTTCACTGCAGATCTATAAGATACCATTCAGATCTTTTTTAGATCTTTAAGACACATTTCAGATCCTTAAGACACATTTCGAACCTTTAAAACACCTTCCAGACCTCTCCTAACTGCCCCTAACATCCCCACAGGTCGTCTCGTAGGTCGCGTCATCATCGGATCCTTCATGTTTGCACGAGGCCGAGCCCTGAACCACTGGAATGAGGTCCTCTCGACGCCCAAGGAACCCATACAGTTCTGGCACTCTCTCACGGAGTAGTCCTGACAAATGGCACCCTCTCATGGAGTAGTAGCGTTAGGCCTCAAAGTATTGTTATTGTTCTAAAATGTGGAAATGCCCTAGAAAAGGTATTCAAGTAATTTCGTCTTCTAGAGCAACATCTAGTCACTCTTCTCCAGTAACTGTCATTACGGTAGTTTTGTTTTGGCTCATTTTTAAAAAATAATGCGGAGTCCATACGTACAACATACTGCAAATGAAACAATGGTTATATTAACAGTAACAGTAACCTTTTCATATGACAACACCAGCAATAAAGACAATATTGACTTCTGTCTAATGATATCCACTGAATATTTTGCTACGAAGGACAACAGGTCTAATGTATCAAAATTGTATGAAATTGTATGAAAACTAGTCTATTCACATATAACTCTCCCATCCTGGTTAAAATGTCTAACGACGTTTCTTTATTTTATGTCCTTATGTCCCATATAATCATAAAATGTGACTCCATATTCACTTTCCAAACACACAGACCTACATTGGCATCTTAATAGGCTTGTTACACTTCCGCTGTGTAAGATATCCAAAAGGTATACAAAAGTGTGATGCAGACTTGGCGATACTTTACTACGCGAGTTTCTATGTTACGGCTTTACATATATGCATAAAAGCTGATATTCTTCCGCAAAGCTGGATCATGCGTTGTAGTAATTTCGTGCACAGTTTCTCCATGAATATTTGACATTGCTCTAAGGAACAAGTTTTGATAGGCCAAGGTTATAGGATGCAAAAAAGGGACACTACCTTCTACCTCCAAGATGTAAACGAATTCAGAAACTTTTAGCATATTTTCCCATAACCAAGGATTTTTCTTGAGTATCTGCTATCTGAAGAACCCCCCAATACAGTTATAAACTTTATATTTGTGTGAAAGACAATATAAATGTAAAAAAGTGACTGTAAGAATTAGCCATAGAAAACAGATACTACTATCTAACAGTACA